AATATTAGTAACATAATTTGTTAAACGCTACTAAATTCGTTAACTCTATAGTGACATATAAAATATGCCACTAAAAACATAATATAGTGGCATAAAAAATATGCCACTAAAAACATATGCCACTAAATGTCGTTTAATTTGTAGTGTGGTCACCTAAAATTAACATCAAGTTAAGTAATTAATGTTGCGAAATCTTCAAAAAAATCTTAAAATTTTAGTCAAATTTATGCAAAAGTCTCAAACTAAATTTTATTTACAGAAAAGTACAAAATACCAGTTAAAACTTCGAAAAAAAAAAAACTTTTCGGCCGGTTTCACAGATTTTGCCGGTATTCTGCCCTTTTTCGTTAGTTTGCTCAAAATTTTGGGACTTTTCCAAAATTTACATAATAACCAAATATTGGGACTATTTTGAAAATTTCCATGAAATTAATGGATATTGTTATTAACAAATCATTTATAAACATAAAAAATATTTTTATTATAAGAAAAAAAATACATTTGCTGCTAATTTTTAGGAATAAATTGGTGGTGTAAGTACTCTATTGCTTCCTGACCACTCAAACTCTATACGTTCTTCCTATGCATTGTTGTGGGTATGATGGTGAGATTAACTTAGTTAGCATTCCTCTAATAGTGGTGTTCATCTTATGTTGTTTAACCTAACTACCAACAAACACTCATACCTTACATGTTAACAACCATCGACTAACACACATCTATAAAATGTGAAAAGTGAACCGCGAATGATAATTTATATGGAAACAAGTAAAGGGTGATTATCTATTTAAATTGTCATTCAAAGTTTACTTTTCACTCTCGATAGATGTGTGTAATTTTATGGTTGTTACCGGGTAATGTTTGGAGGTTTGGTGGTAGTTAGGTTAAAGAACATAATGAAAGATCTATATGTTCGTGTAATGATATTTTCTAATAGCATGTGATCATATAGTATCATTCCTAATAACAAGTAGACACTTATTGATCGTGTATTAATAAATATTATCAACTCTTGTATTGGTCACGCCTAACAGAGTACTTCTCACTATGACACCCACAACGATACATAGGAAGAACATAGAGACTTTGAAGTGGTCAACAAACAATCGAGAAATACATAGTTGACCATTTTATTCCTAGAAATTAGCAACAAATGTATGTCCTTTATTATAATAAAAAAAAATTATATTTATAAATGATATGTTAATAATAATATCCATTAATTCCATAGTAATTTTAAAAAAAATCCCAATATTTTGATTATTGGGTACTTTTCAGAAAAGTCATAATATTTTGAGCAAACTAACGAAAAATGACACAATACCGGTTAAATCTTCAAAACCGGCCAAAAAAAGGTTTTTTCGAAGTTTTAGCCGGTATTCTGTGTTTTTCTGTACACAAAAATTAGTTCGGAACTTTTTCATAAATTAGACTAAAATTTTAGGACTTTTATGGAGATTTCCCTTTTAGATATATAAACAGAAGTTTAAATATAATTCAATTTTTTCTCTAAATGAGTTCATAAACTTTAGTACAATCTTTAATCCTTTATAAATGCAACTACATCCTAAAAAAATGACTCCATTTGATAAGTTTAAACTATATTGATGAATTAGATTGATAATCCAACTACTTAAATCCATCCAATTTTGATAAGTTTAAACTATATTGATGAATTAAACTGATAATCCAACTACTTAAATCCATCCAAAAGCAAATCTGGATTTAAAATCATCAAATGAACTCAAAAGTTCAAATTTAGCTTGAAATTACTAGAATGACAAATTAGAAGTTATTGGTCACATATTATGGATTAGTTAATCTCATCCGAGATTAGGAAACTCCGTTCTAATTTAGAATAATATTAAATTCATGATCTAAAGCTTCCAAACCCATTTCACCGATTTAAGGTTAGCAAGCTTGCAAAACAACTTATGAAATTGAAATCAAACAACATTAAAGGATGTTGTTGATAAATTGATGAACTATTGAAAGAATCTAAACTAGAAACTCAAACTAACTCCTAATCAACATAATATTTTTGGATTTTAAGGGAAATAAAAACCCTAGGTTACTTAGAATGAATAAGATGATCAACGTTGGTTACCTCTTTGAGTTTCCTATTAAGATTCTAGCACTAATCCTTCAAAAACTCTTAAAGTTAGCTTCAAACTCTCTCTAAGCTCCAAAAATCACCACTCTCAACTTCTATACTCTTCAAAAGCGTTCAAGGAAATGAAGGAGAGAGATTGTGTTTATGTTTAAATCTTTGGTCTCTAGATGACTGAAGTCCATTAACTTTATATTTCCCTCTTTTAACTCTAATTAACTATAAACTTAACATATAACATATATTTTTATCGAACTACCCTATTTAGTAAAATCGTTAATATTTTAGACCCAAACCTAGTTAACTTAAGATTCTAATGACAATTTCAGTACCTTAAACTTTAAATTTCAATTTAACACATATTAATGTCTTAATTGACTTTAAAAATTTTCAAATCCATCAATTATTTAAGTAAACTAAATCTTTATTAATGTGGGTAAAACTTCTAGCCCCAAATCAGGTGTTACAAAATCCTATCCATTAGATGTAAGTCGGATACCTCAAAAACCTATGACCGTATCTATATATTTTTTATTCAAAAAATACTATAATTTCCTATCGAAATCCAAATGAATCGTATGTAAACAGGTTTTTTACAACTATCCTTTAATCACACTCATTAAAACCCGATCTCCAAACTTGATTTCATCCTTATTATTTGATTTTACGCACTTAATTTGGAAACCAAATTCCTTGATTTTGGTTTGACAAGGACCCTTAACTGGTTTTATTATTTACTTTTACTTTTATTTTTTGTTATACTTTAATTTTGATTCTTTATATATTGTTAAAATAAAGTATATATAAATAACAACAATACTTCAATTTTTAAAACAAAAATTAAATAAAAATCATATAGGTACGATACGTAAATCATCCGAACATAGTAGTATCGGAATCAATTAAAGATTTTTGTTTGATTTATTAAGTGTACCGGACACTACTAAATAATTAATTTTTTATTAATGTTGTAATCTAAACTAATATCACAGACACTAAAAAAAATAACTATCATGTAACGCAATGAAATAACAATTGTCACGATGTAATAGTGATGGTAAATAAACATTCATCATATTTCAGGTAATATGTTGCTCAACAAAAATATTCAAACGAATGCATATTACAAAAATGCTTAAAAAAACAATTCATCAAGAAAACCATTATTTCAAATTGCAGTTCATAATCACTATGTTATTTGTGACAATGATATCTGTTTCGAATACACCACTAATTTAAATAAGTTATTAGCTTATGATACACATACATAATAAATCAAACAAAAATGTGTTGTTCGTATCATATCTAATATGATTTTTTACTTCATTTTTGCCTTAAGTATTTAAATAGCATTTCAAATGTTATTTCATTGGTATAAGTTTTATCAAGTAATATGTAACACAAATAAAAATATTTAAGGTTAAATTTAAAAAAAAAAAAAAAAAAAAAAAAAAAAAAAAAAAAAAAAAACCTCAAAAGTCAAATGTGAAGTATCAATTTGGGATGGATAGAGTATAATTTATAAATTTTAGGGATAATGACTTAAAATGATAATATATTTTTCAATTTGTACATATTTGGTCATTGAGTTTTTTTTTTTTTTTTTTTCGTCCACATTTACCCCTTCAAATTGTTAAACTGTATGTATTCAATTTTTATGACCGGCTACTCTATGTTAACCGGTAAAAATGACTTAATAATGTTTTTCACTTTGTACACATTTAGTCATTAATATATATATATATATATATATATATATATATATATATATATATATATATATATATATATATATATATATATATATATATATATATATATGTGTGTGTGTGTGTGTGTGTGTGTGTATGTGTGTGTGTGTGTGCGCGCGCAAAATAAGTCATTTTTGTTTTTGTACTCATTCAGTAGTTATGAATGATTTCTTAACGTTTTTCTCATGACATCTTAGGTGATACAATTGTTAATAAGGTGTTTGAGGCTTTTGATGCTTATATCCATCGTGATCTCGACTACTTGGTTGCTTAGGTCATGTAGTATGATCATTATAACTTTTTTATACGACATTTAAATGATCTTTATATCCATGCGTTTGTATTTTAGTCTACTATAACTTTTGTTTAGATTACTCCCATTAAAAACTAATATATTTTTACTTATGATCTGTATATCAATACTTTTTTTATAAATGCATGTATGGATTTTTTTTTTTTATAAAATCATAAGTAAAAATATATTGCATATTAATGAGAGTAATCTTAATGAAATTATAGTAGACTAAAAAAAGGAACATGTGGATATAAAAATGTTTAATATTTGATATCGTATGAAGAAGTTATGATGTTCAGAACACAAGATCTAAACTACACCACAAGACCTACATAACCAAGCAGTCGAGATCACAATTGACATAAACATCAGCAACCTGAAACACCTCATCAATGATTGTCCCACGTAATATGCCGTGAGAAAAACCTAAAGAAATCATTCATAAGTACTGAATGAGTACAAAAACAAAAAGAACTTATTTTGAAACAAAAAATATTAAGAACTAAATATGCACAAAAATAATAAAGACTAAATTTATACAAAATGATAAATATATTGTCTTATTAAGTTATTTTTCTTTGCTAACCTAGACCAATTAATCATAACGATCGGATGTGTACAATTTAGCAAGTTCAAGAGATAAATATGGATGAAAAAAAAACTAAAGATATACAAATTAAAAAAATATTTTCCCTTTTAGTCATTATCCCTAAATTTTAATATAAAAAATCACACTGGACAATAAATGGGGCTGGACTTGGACCGGCCCACCGGGCTTAATCAAGAACTATGCATTTTCTTAGCCCGCATGAACCGGACATCGTTGATCTTCTAGTCTCTAGTTCTGACATTGCATTTGCAAATTGCAAGTAATCGATGAAACATGATAGAAATACGAATATGAATCAAAAGCAAAAACGGAAGGAAAATCAATGAACAGATGCCATTATCCATTCATCTATAACAAGTGGTTCTACAAGTCGCCTCGTTTTATTCATCAAAAAACACAAAGTGGAAAGCAAAAGATCAAAATCTACACCTCCAACTCCCCCTGATTCATCACTTCATTGCTGCTTTTGACGAACGAACACCAACATCATCAGCTGCATAGGGCGAACAGTAATCGAATCCATACCACATCTCCGCCGGAATCCAATCGTTATAATCAAAAGAAACCGCCTTCGTATTGTAACCGTACACCTCTACCCTCTCCGGCAACCACCCGTCGTATCCGCTTCTGTACAAGTACACGTAACATATCTGATTCGTACACGGACCGTATACCTCGAACGTATCGGCCGAACACCGCTCAAACGTCCTCGTCGATGGATCATCCAGTCTGGGTGCGTAAACCTAGAAATTATCATCATCATTCCATATCAATATCATATACATATTCTTCACTCAATCAATTCGAGCTGCTATAAATGTGAACAGAACCTCAATCAGACCTGATTGCCGTAGGCATCGCCGAAGGAGATACTGATTTCATCTCTGGTATACGAAACGGAAGAACAGCTTGTTACAAGCCTTACAGTGAACGAACAAGTTCCTTCGTTCTATGAAAATCAAACGAGGTTAGTTAATTTGTGATTTCTGTAAACGTCTTCTAAGAAATCAGCTTTGAATTAACGCGAAGAACATCATACTACAAATGAACAAGTGAAAGTGGCAACTGGAATTCTGCTTTCAATTAACTGAAAAGTAGAAGAGGCGAATGAAATTCTCTAATAAGTTAGCGCTAGTAGTTACCTGATGATTAGCAGAGTCGATCTTAAAATCAGGGTTTGGTAGTGGTGTTTTGGTGATTGATCCTGCTTGAGATGATGTATAGATTAGGGCACATAGCAAAACGAAACACGCAGCTCTCATCATTTTTCTCTGAAACAGGAGTAGTGCGTGGCAAAAGTTGATGACGAGAACAGTAATCCAGCATCAGTTAACTACTTGACAATCTACTTGTTTTTTTCTGGGGCGTGTACTCTGCTAGAACAATTAATTATCAAATAAAAGGTAAAACTTTTTACGAGATATTATTACGAAGCATACCATTTAAAAAAAAAAGTTAAAACAGATAATATTTTTGTACGAACTTGTAAATGGTGTAAATGGGTTAGTCGAACATGACAAAAAACCTAATATCCGATGGGCAACTCAAAAATCACATTCAAAAGAGGAATCGAGTTGAAGTGGGATGAAGATGGGATACCTTTAATCTCCGACCATAGATCCACCTCGGAGATATATTAATATATAAAAATAATACAAGACTGTTAAAAAATATAATCTAATAACAAGATAAATTATAAAGTAAAAAAGATATGAAAATGAAGAAAACTTTTATTCCAATACTTATAATGAAATCATCAACTTTTATTCCAATACTATTTATAGAACCAAAATAAGATGGAAAGATTGATGCACATTATGATGGTGCATTATTACACTTGTAAAACACAATGAAATGGTCGTTATTAATGCTAAATAATGATAAGGAGTTATGGGAGAAATAAGAAATCCAATGGTCATTCACAAACTAATATTTCATAACACTCCTCCTTGAATGACGATTGTATCATGCATCGTTAAAACTTTAATAGGTAAAACCTCATGGGAAAAACCTTTTATTAAGGAAAAAAGAATACATGATTATTAATAGATATTAGAAACAATTACCTCGTTAAAAACCTTGCTAAGAAAACTCAGTGGAAAAAAACATAGCTAAGGAAAAGAGTGCAATATGTTTCTACTCCCCCTTATCAACTCACTTGATTTCCTTGAAGCACCGCATAATAATGTTTCGTACCATCTTTTCAAATTTGGATGTAGGAAGTGCTTTGGTGAACAAATCGGGAAATTTGTTACTTGATTGAATTTTTTGGATGTTGATGTCATACTCTTTTTGAAGATGATTAGTGAAAAAGAACTTGGGTGATATATGTTTGGTTCTATCTCTTTTGATAAATCATTCCTTGAATGGAGCTATACAAATCATATTATCATCATATTGTACGGTAGGAGCATCCCAGTTAGAAGTTAGACTACAATTCATGCAAATGTCTTCAGTTAACTTTCATAACCACTACATTCATGACTTGCCTTATAAATTGATATAATCTCTTCATGGTTAGAATAAGGAACAACTAAAGTTTGTTTAACATAATGTTAGGAAATTTTATTATCTCCATATGTGAATAAATAGCCTGTTTGAGTTTGAGCTTTATGGGGATCAAATAAATATCCAACATCTATATAACCAATTAACTTGCATTTGATTATTTGATTAATATAAATTCATATCCACTATACATCGAAGATACCAAATAATGTGTTTGACTCCATTCCAGTGTCTTCTTGTTGGACAAGAACTATATCTTGTTAATAAGTTTACGACAAAAGATATATCAAGTCTTGTATTAGTAAGATATATTAGTGCACCAATAACACTAAGATATGGGTCTTCGGCAACAAGAGGATTTTCACTCTAAAAAAAGATATATCAGGTCTTATATTAATAGTAAGATATATTAGTGCACCAATAGCACTAAGATATAACTCTCCAAGAACAAGAAGATTTTTCTTGTTTTTTATGAAGATGAAATTGGTCCTTTTTGGCATCTAAGTGCCTTACCACCATCAGGTTACTCATGGATGTGAGTTATTCATATAAAACATTTTAAGCACATTTTATAGATATTAATGTAAAAAAACTCCATTTTGTGTGCTCGGTTTGAAGACCCAAATAGAATTTCATCTTACCAAGATCATTCATTTCAAAAATTTCTTTCAAACAAGAAGTGGCATTTTCCAATTCTCTAGGAGTTCCAATTATGTATAAATCATCTACAATAACATTAATTATGACATATTCTGATCCGGATCTTTTTATGAATACATATGAGCTTATTAGATCATTTTTGTAGCCCTTTCTCAACAAAAATGTACTTAAAAACAATTGGACAACATATAGCCAGCTTATTCAATCCATACAAAGATTTATTTAATTATACCGGATATACTTCTTGAAAATAAGAAGTTTGTGCTGATGGGTTTTACACAAAATAACATCCTGTGTGCTCATGCAAACCCTAAAACTTGGATCTAGGTTTCTCTATTGTACATGCAATTCATCCAAAACTTATAAATCCTAGATCTAGCATGCATATTTCGAAATTATCACAATAAAAACGGATCTACATGATTACCTCTTAAACAATGGCTTGAATCTTCTTGTCTTGGAGCTTAGAGTCACAAATGTCACTCCTCTAATGGCTTAAAAACACCACACAATCAAGAGGATGATATTAGAGAGGGAGGAGAGGCACAATTTAGGCTATGAAGGATCTTAGGGTTCAAGTGGCCGAAAATTGGAAGCCTTAGGGTCTTATGTGGTGTTGCTTGGGTTTTAGTCTAAACCTTAATTGACAACTTAGGCCTTAAGCAATCCAAGGAAGCTTCTGGAATAAGGCCCTTTTGGCCGAAATTAGGATGGACACATCCCTAATTTCGTCCATGCCTAGTCCAAGAGGCTCCTCAGCCCAATATTCAACTATCACACATTTGACAGTTTAAGTCCCCGATATTTAATTAATGTCTTTTAGCCACATACTTAATTCTTAATTAATTCTTGTCTAATATTAATTAAACTATATGATTTATCCTTTAATATATTATTCATATAATATATTAATAAACCATATTAACCTCTATATTCATAAATCACCCTATCAAGTTGCTTTGGTGAAGGCAACCTAAAAGAGCCATGCACAACCGGGTCAAGTACTTACCAAATATAGTTACAGGCTTAGACACTAATCCAACAGTCTCCCACTTGGATAAGTCTAGTAACTATAAATGCAAACATAATCCGATTAGCAATCGTAGCTCTCAAAGACGCTGTCGAACTCTGATCTCATCAACAACCTGTCCTTCAGATAAGGGATCATATAGTCCTCTGTTCTAGATATCGTGCGGACAATTACATGGAACATAGTCATACTTATTGTCTAACAATTTGTTTCTCGATCTCAGATTCGTTTGACATAGAACTTAATTGAACACATCAATTCAGTCCTGACCGGGCCCGGCACATAAGTCAAACTAAATCATCGAAGAGGCCCTGATATCACTTTTACCCTCTTAGGATAAAAGGAACAGATAAACTTTGATTTATATGCACTTAACATTCACTAATCAAATCATACACAATAATGTGTTTTATAACATCAAGTTACTGATGCGTTTATGCATTATCAATGCATAAGCAATTAGCAAACAATAAACCATATATCTAGGTTTTAAGACCATATGATATTATCGTCTTGAGATCACTCGTGGTAAATTCCATGAAGTGATTCCAGCAAGCGTGGGTTTATTCCAATGCTCAAATCTTATTCATAAGCACTTATGAATGTTGTAGCAAAATTTTGCTATGTCTAATACACTTTAGACAATCTACACACAAATTCATGACGGTCTTCATTCATACCTACTTCCTACATATGAACGACTGTGGACCGTTCAAATAAATTTATTATTCAGGAAGTCAAAACATGCAAAATGAATCAATAGGTAAACAATTAACATAAGACAATAACTTTAATGAAAAATAATACCCATTTATTTAATCATCGAATGTTAATTATGTTGGATTAATGTCTAAGCCCGTAACTATATTTGGTATGTACTTGACCCGGTTGTGCATGGTCCTTTTAGGCTGCCTTTACCAAAGCAACTTGACAAGGTAATTTATGGAGAGAAAGTATATTATGATTTATTAATATATTATAAGATTAATATATTAAGAGAAAAATCATATTATATAATTAATATTAGTCAGAGATTAATTTGGTGGCTAAAAGAGATTAATTAAATAAAGAGGTTTAAACTGTAAAATGTGTGATAGTTGGATTTTGGGCTGGGAAACCTAATAGATCAAAGGGGGGAACGAAATTGTGATGCGAGTCCATCATAATTTCGTCTACAAGCCCTATTTCAGAACGTTCCATGGGCTGCTTGGTGATTAAGTTGTCCATTAGGGTTTTGATTGAAACCCTGGCAGCCAATAGTATAAATAAGACCCACAACCTTCAAATTTCGGTACTTGCTTCCAATAGAATCCTAGGGCTGAAATTTAGAGCCTCCTCCCTCTCTCCTAATAGCCTTCTTGCTTCTTGTTGTTCATAATCCATTAGAGGAGTTACACTTGTGACTCTAAGCTTAACAAAGAAGAAAGACCAAGCATTCTTAAAGAGGTAATCATCTAGATCTGATATTTTATGCTAATTTTGATTTATGTATTCTAGATCTAGGGTTACAAATCTTGGATGAATTACATGTACAATAGAGAAACCTAGATCCAAGTATTAGGGTTTGTATGAGCATATTGGAAAGTTCTTGTGCATAAAACGCATCAGTGGTATCGGAACTTTGATTCCTTTCTGTTGTATGTGATGCAATGATCGTTTGTTAACGGAAAATCAATCTTGGCCTCTACCCGACTCGACTCGGCGAGTCACTAGTTGGACTTGGCGAGTCGGCCCAACTCAGCGAGTCCAAGTGGTGACTCGGCGAGTCCAGTAGTTAGACAGAGGAAAACTTGGGATTTTATGTTGTTTTGCTATAGGATAATTGCCAAAATCGTTTTTGAATGATAAAATCCGAATTTTACTGTAATTATGAGATTATCCTTACCAAAATAAAAGATAATTACCAATTAGTTAAATAATAAATTCCTTATATGATAAAATTTGATTATTTGAATTAATTGATCAATTATCTTCCATGAAATTGGATTAGGTCAAATATAGATAATCACTAAATTGATTGTTTAATTTAAATTATTTGTTATTTGATCCTTTATGTTTTGAAAAGTTAAATAATCACACTCAAGTCTTGAAATTTAAATTTTGATTAAAAGTTTAATTATGAATAATTTAAATTTCAAACCTTTAGAATTTTACAAGTTTAAAATTCAATATTATACTTTATTTATTATAAGATTAATATATATATATATATATATATATATATATATATATATATGTGTGTGTGTGTGTGTGTGTGTGTGTGTGTATATATATATATATG